AATTGTTATTCAACTTCGCTTGACTTGATTTTTTATCTTGATTTACTTTTAGTTGAACTTCTCCGACTTTTGTACCCACGAACGAAAATATGTATATATATCCTCGCGATCCTGCTTTCAACCTCGTTTTCTCGTTAACGCGAGAATTGTTTCAAAATTTCAACACATCTCACGTGTCGCAGGCCACATACGCTGTTCGAGAGATCAAGTAAACGACGAACTTTTCGAAAGTTGGTGGTGGGTCAAACTTCGGGGGGGCATGAAAACTCGGTGCTTGTCAAAAACAAGCAAACAGCCTTAACAAACGTGGATTCGTGGAACGTACGTTTAGCTCCTGAGTGCAAGAGTGGGCTGAAACGCGTTTCCCTTGGCAATACGAAAGTATGATCGTTTGTGTCGTGCATCGATCGCTTTGTATCATACCGGTGTACCTTGTATCAGCGATAACCTCACCTATGGAATCTAGTCTTGAGCGCGGCATAACCAGTTTGCCGGTTAATTAATGCTGCGAAACTGGTAGTTCCTGCGCTTTCGAACTCTACCGGGTATTTATCTTTAGCTCGTTGCACCGCGCTAGATCCGACGCTGTTAAATATTACTGACGAATTTTTTTTTTTTTTTCCAATTGCCCGCTTGACTCGACCGTGTATTTCTTATTTCTGCTGCACGATCCCTGGCCATCGGATCTTCGAGCTCCCTTCGGAACATTTCCAAAAACTTTCGATCTTTCGAAGATCGAAAAGAACAAAAAGTTAAAAAGAACAAAATCCCTTAATTCGATTGCCGAAAGTTTCTGTTAACCGAGCGATCCAGCAGAAGAAACACGTCGACGTGTGAAAAAATAGATCGTAGCAGGTGTTAAAAAAATACTAAGCAGCCACTTCCTATTAATTATTCATCGAGCGGAACTTTCAACCAGCCACGCGAAACATATGTACGCAATCGCTCTGATCGGGGTGAACGTCTCCGGATCATAAAGTGGAAGGAAATCGCAAGGAAATTGTAAGAATACTCTCGACATCGCGATGTTAAATTCGATGAAAGGATTCGAAACTCTCCGAACCGAAAGGCAAACAGGAAATTCTTGGATGATTTTCACAGGTTTTCGGAATGACGCGATAAGTTCGATTGCGAAAAGTGAAAACGCGTCTAATTAAAATATATAGAGAGGAAAAGGTGGCGATACACACGACAAGGGAGAAAGTTCATTCATCAACGAGGAACAGTAACGGCGCAGTTGCAGGTTTACGCTAGCCACCGAACGCTTTCGCAATTTTTATCGATTATATTCATGTCCACGTGGCACGCATTTTCGTTGTGAAATATCGAAGAATTTCGTTTCGTTTCATTTTCATCGTTCAACGCGACAAGCTATGGCTCCTACCATGCGAACGAGAGAGTGATTTGGTAGTATATTGTGGCAACAGATCGATCAAGTTTGAATAACTATAAGCGACATGTACGTGCTGCAATATTTTATGTTATGCAATAGCGTGTCACTGCGAGCTGGTAATCAAAGACGACGATTCTCGCGCGTTACATGCATACGTCTTCACTTATATTTCGACGTGCGAGCCATACCGTACGACAAAATTTCAAAGGCGATTCGTCGCTTTGTCCTAAGCTTCTCCATCAACTGCACTACCGTCTATATGTATTACAAATAACTTTTAACTTGTAAAATCTTCTTTGATTATCATCTTTGAGTCGTAAGTATTCCTTATAATGCATCTAGCTGCACCCTATTTATATTTTTCAACAGCAAGATTGATCACAAAATCATAGACCAATGCTACCTCAAAATTCGCAGCTTCAACTAGATTATACAGTTGGATTATCATTAGATTATCATTCAATTAGATTATACAGTCAGATTATCATTAGATTATCACCTTTGATTCTTAAGAATTCCTTGTATTACATCTAATTTCACATTTCCAAGGTTCACAAAATCATGGATCCTCGTGCAGCCTCGATTAGATTATACAATTTTATTTGAAATATACTGTCTACGTTTCCAGTAATTTTTCAGTAATAAGTATGCAAGTACTTCTAGCACCACAGCAAAAAAACTACGATTTTAAGAAGATATTTCATGCAAATTTCTTCTCCGGCGTTTGTCACACGTGCATTTTCTATATCCCTTTTATCTTCATCCCTTTCATGTTTCGGCATATTGGTTACATGTCACGCCCCGATCGTTAACAAAAGATTCTACAGATACTCGTGACTTGGAAATACCAAGAAAATAGAAGAGGAAACGTTTCGACAAAGGATACGAAAATAAACTAGACGATGTTATCTTCCGAGGATATACACCATAAGTAACCATACTGGAGACATAGTGAGAGGTTGTTAACCCTTACTAAACTTACTCCGACAATGTCCTGCAAATCGCGTCGCGTCGTGAGAATCCAATTTCGTCCGACAGGGAATGCTCGTATGAAAATCACTCACTCGACGAGACGAGAAGGATTATGGTTGTGCGCAGACAGACACGTCGAATCCTGGCCACGGGAGGAAAAGATAAAATATCGAAGGAAATCACGCCGCGAACGGTGTACAGCCACCGAGAGAAAAATGTTCGAAGCACGAGCGTAAACATCGAACTGAAGCTGCCAGGCAAGCTGCACCGCAACACCACGCTAGGCCCGACCTTAATAAGCTGCTTTCACACCGAGCTCACTGCTCCTGGACCTCTTGAAGCTTTTTGAACGAACGCCTCGATTTCTAGCAATCTCGACCTTCCAATTATCTTCCATTACGCTCGTACTCGTTCACGCTCTTTCAATTCCGACTATTTTTCAAGCACTTGGCTCCCAACCGCGTGCCTCGTTACAATCGAGCGTGAACAGGATCGTGAAAGTAAAATTGCAAGCATAATTCTCGAAGAAGTTTTTGAAAAGACTTTCAAGCATTCCATTTAACGGTATCTTTGTCGATGTGGCGTTTTATAGCATTCCTGAAAGTGGACGTCAGTTGGTTTACTCTGTTCTGTTCTGTTCTGTTCTGTTCTGTTCTGTTTGTTAACGGATGGTATCCATGGAATTCGTTAATGTCGGTGGTAATTCACCAGGAGCCGATTAAATATTTATCGAGTCGTCGTTCGCGGCTGTGCTCTCAAGTCACCGTAATTACACGGTGCCTCGAAATAGCAGGTTCCTCGTCAATATTTTAACATAGCCGGTCACTGCCCTCCTGGCATTCAACTATATTTGTTGCAAGTGTATTTCGAGCAAATTTCCCTCTTGTACTTCCGTCATACTGGCATCACGCGCTCCCGCTCCGAACGCAGCATCCCTTTTATCGCATTTCGCAAATAGTAGAGTAGGTTCGTCAAGCTAAATTCCACGAAGATGAATTAATTTGATTGCGAAATTCACAGAGAAGTATCTAGGGTTATTAGCAATAGATTACAAACGGGCGAAAAATTTCTTCAAACGTTTCCTAAATTTCCTAATGATCTTCGATTCGTCATTTTTCGTTAAGTAAAAATAGATTTTCCCAATGGTGTTTGGCTGGGCAAAAGAGTTCAGTGTGGATACAACCTAAATCGAATTCCGCACAAAGAAAGGCATTCGATGGAAAAGAACCTGCAACGGACCTGGGGCCTGCATCTTCCAGGCCCGAACCTAATTCATCTTAGGGCCCCGTGGTCGCATAATCGACCCGGATTTCTCGTTAAATCCCGGATCCTGTTTCTGAGAATGTTTCTGAAGAAATTACCAAGAGGCTGTCCAGCTTCAACGAACGCACCGTCATCGATGAAAATTCACCGATTCACGCGATATAACGTTCCTGATGTCCTAGTGATTTTCTCAGTCCTTTCAGAGTCGATGAATGACCGAATAGTACAGAAGAAACGCGCAACGTGCAAACGAACGTTCAATTTATTTCTCCGTGAAACGTTTTCATCTCAAGGACGATTCACGATCTCAAGAGACGGCTTCAATCTCTGTTCAGAGAGGCGCGTGACAGTAAATTGTCGTAAGAACCATATACTTACACTCGAACGTGAAATAACTCTCTCCTTCTTTGATTGATGATACGTTCGTGCATTGCGAGAAATCTCGCCGATTAGTTTCGGATGATACTGTTCACGTGTTTCTCGACCTTTCTCAGTCCTTCAATTGAAACATGCAAACAAATAGCACCAGAAATGAAGCAGAGATTCGTCGAAACCCGCAATTAGCAAGATCATTAGATAATAGATAGATTATACGAGATGTTATAATATTTTAGTTCTAGTCCAACAGTTTAATATAAAAGAATACTGTAAATGCAAAATTAACAATTGTGAATGTCAAAAATGTTAGACGAAATGTTACGATATTACGTAAGCTAAAAACAAACGCGACACACACAAATGAAGTGTTAAACTTGCGGTCACGTACCACTGTACCATCCACCGTGACCTCAAGTTTGCTTAATTGTGTCTTTAACAACTGCGGCTCGTTCGGCAAGTTCGCGGTAAATGTGTACATTACACAGCTTGCAGCAGCCGTTCCATCAGCTATGTACCCAAAAATACACAATTCATAGCGTACAAGTCGTTTTCGTGAATATAGAAGGAAAACAGATGGTGTACATACGAACATTGAAAATACTGCTTGACTCAATATCGCTCACTCTGCTTATGCTTATGCAACAATCAAACACGATTCGTCACGATGCATTAAAAAGTTTAAATATATACAGTGTTATCAAATGCCACGGTGACACGTATGGTCCAACGGTTCGCGATATATACGTACAGGTATTTTCACTGTTTCATTTCAGGCCGTTTTACAAGTAATGTACTCTTTCATTCGGCATTTTCAATTTCTAAGGTCATCAAATCAAACAACAGCTAGTGAGATTTGTAATCAACGATTAGGAAGATTGTTGTAGCATTAAAATTATCCCCTGTTTATAAATGGCACATGTATAGAAGGGTGGCAGACGAAAATTCTACAAGAGTAGAATACCACTTTGAATAGAAGCAAGTAGTACAAACATACCTCATCGTCGTGATGATGGCTGTTAGAAGGCACTTTGTCAGAAAGTTCCTTGATGAAGTCCTCCGAGTTTGTCTGATTTGGAGAGTCTATCTGTTCATTCGATATCCTGACATTATCGGCCGAGTCTTCAACGGAATCCGAATAAGCACTATCCTGTTTGATCGAGCATACCTTTTCTCTTTTCTTGTTTTGTTTGTCCTTCTCATGGTACTTGGATTCGCCGATGCACTTTTCGATGCTGGACGCTCTATGAAGGATCGTCGGCAAGGTCGGAGCCGATTCACAAAACTCGAGCTCGCTTTTTAAATTTTCGTTACTGTCATTGCATATTCGTGGAGGGTCCTGGTCACGAAACGTCCTGCGCTGGCCCTTTACCATTTCGCACATTTCTCTCTCTCTCTCTCTCTCTCTCTCTCTCTCTCTCTCTCTCTCTCTCTCTCTTGCTTCAACGCAAATTGATCAAATCGTTCATATTTCCCTCGAGATTTTCAGACCAAACATCCTAGGAAACCTTAAAAATGATACGTCACTGTTATTCATTTTTATTTCGAAACATACTTGTTGTGTTTTTATTATTATAATCAAACGTCTCTAGAAATGATTGTTCCCATCAAAACGTAACTGATTCACCTACAACACTGTATAGGTAAAATTAGACAATTTAAATTCAACCAATCACGGATACGATACTGATAATGAGATTACGTTCGATCAGTACGCGTTCGCATGTACGACTGATACGTACGCAAAGAGACAAATTCTGTGAAAGACATCTCGTTGAGATCGTCCCGTGTTAAATGACAAAAAATCGTATATCGTTCGTTGACACGAAAATGGTATGTACTGACCGGCTTTTAACGGAACGTTCCTTCTGACGATGGGGTTAGCTTCGTTTCCGTGACGTACGATACTTCCGCAGGGTAGAGAGACGCAAACTGTACTATCTCGCCAAGGGCCAAACGAGTCATGCGTCATACGGAAGGACATCTGTTGCCCTTTTCCCTCGACCCCTAACGTTCTTTTTATCTTTGTCCCTCCAGCCATTGGCGTCGCTCGTCTCGCTCGTTTCACCCTCTCTTTTTCGCCTCTTCGATCGTTACCCTGTTGTTTAACGGCGATTAGAAATTGTTGCATTTTAATGGGACTTAGCTTGCAAATTTGAATATTCTGAATATTAAACATTAGCGGTGAATTATTCTCAACAAAGGAGCGGGAAATTAGGCTTGTACGTAAAATTGATTTGAACGTTGCACCTCGAGAAGGCATTCTTTTATCCGACCGCGAGATGGCAGAAATTCTTAACGTCTCGAATGTGACGATGCATAAAAATTTGTTGTTTCTGTCAGTAAAAAGATAATGATTCACTGAAAACTTTTGTGTACGTATCTCCTTTATCCCAATAACATAGGATGACTTATATAATCTCGCGTGAAAAATAGTTAGTCATTACAAAATAGCCTAACGTGCGTCGTAACTCTATTTAATGAAACATAAACATTACATATATAGATTTATTGGATAGATTAATTTATGGAATATAAATTTGAAAATATTTCATCGAAATAAATCGTAGAAATGAGCTTGCAAATGTAAATGTAATTGTACTGTAAAATTGAACTTCGAAGCACAAAGTTTAATTATTAGTTTTTTTTATTTTAATGCGCCTTGACTACGTGAACGTCATCCTCGAAATTATACTTTTCTCCTTATTCGTGAGATAATAAAAAGATGCAACAAAAAAATGTACCTTTAGCGAGTTCCTTGCGAATGAATTTAAATTTCAAAATACGAATGTGGAGCGTAACGAAAGAGAGTCCTTTCACGTTTAACTTTATCAACCTGCTCTTTTAGTAATTCCTACGTTCGTCACTCTGAATCGTAGATGGCACAATAAAATCTCTGCTTCTCGGTGCAATCGGTATTTCAGAATATGTAACACGAAGTTCCTTAAGATATCACCATCTATTTTATATTTCATCTATGTCCAAGTATATCGGATGGTTAACGAAAGGGTTAATGTCATTTCACGTTGCATAATGGATCACTAGCGCCATCAAGCAGTGCAGGCTGTAAAGTATATAGCGAACGATATATCGAGTATCGAATTATCAGAGCTCAGGCGAGTTGGATGATATTGAACTAACCGGTAGTGCTCGTTTTTCACTGCCGAGAGTTTGTTCTTTTTTTGAACCCCCTTTATATTGGATAGTAAAGTACATCACAAATAAAATGATGCAAGCTAGCCTTTGGAGTTTGGTGACCACTTCTGTCAGAGTAAGTTAAGAAAGAAAGATACTTACGAACAAATGACTTCGTGGATGCATCACAATCACCTCAGATCATACATGTTAGTCTATTTCGTAACATTTTGAAGGACAAATGCTTTTTGTTGCATATAGTATTTCACTAGTCTGCTATTCGTCTTTGCTGTCGCCAATATCTTTTAAATAGAGACATTCATTAAATGTTTGAGGAAGCAGAATTGGTTTCTTCAGTTGATTATTCAACGTAGAAAGTACATTCTCTCCTCTTCATTGGTTATGTCACCTACTTCTGACTTTCTCAGAGATGAAGGATCGTGGGTCCAACGATACATATAAATGGAACATATACAAATATAGGAAATAACTTTCTCCTTTTTTTTGTTAGCCAACATGTGTCAAACGTATTGTACCTGGCTTGACAGCTGCGCAACAACGCAGATATGCCAGCACAATAGAAGCGGATCTTGTAGTAATAGGTGGTGGTCCTGGTGGATATGTAGCATCGATTAAAGGAGCACAATTAGGAATGAAAACTGTTTGTATAGAAAAGGGAGAGACATTAGGAGGAACTTGCTTAAATGTTGGTTGCATTCCATCTAAATCTCTGCTGAATAGTTCACATTATTATCATTTAGCACATGCTGGTGAATTGAAGAAATTTGGCATTTTGGGTATACTTTTAATTTTTTATCTTTCCTCTAAACTAGTCAATTTTATTGTTACTAATTTTACTTCTCTGTTTCAGTCGACAATGTAAAGCTTGATCTTGAAAGAGTAATGGAACAAAAACGAAATACAGTGAAAGCTTTAACAGGTGGTATTGTTGGTTTATATAAAAAGAATAAAGTGGAATGGGTTAAGGGTCATGGCAAAATTACTAGTCCAAATCAAGTAAATGCACTTGGCCCTGATGGTTCAGTGATTAGTACAATTAATACTAAAAACATCATAATTGCCACTGGAAGTGAAGTCACGCCATTCCCAGGTCTAGAATTTGATGAGAAACAAATTATTTCATCCACTGGATGTTTATCATTAAGTCAAGTACCCAAGAAGTTCATAGTAATTGGTGCTGGTGTTATTGGGTTGGAATTAGGCTCAGTTTGGCAGAGGTTTTTATAATGAAATTTTATAGTGAAATTAATCATACAAATCTTAAACGAGATCTTTAACTGCTTTATTTTTCAATCACTGTAGATTGGGCGCTGAAGTAACAGCCGTTGAATTTTTACCAACTATTGGTGGAGTAGGTATTGATGGCGAAGTTAGTCAAGCGATACAAAAAATGTTAGTTAAAGATTCATGGAATTTTAAATTGGGGACAAAAGTTACTGCAGCAAGAAAACAAGGCAATGACATCATTGTTTCCGTTGAAAACGTGAAAGATCCTAGCAAAAAGGAGGAACTGACATGCGATACACTTTTAGTCTGTGTTGGCAGAAGGCCTTATACAACGAATTTAGGATTAGAAGATTTAGGAATCGAAAGAGACGAAAAGGGCAGGATCCCTGTAAACAACAGATTCCAAACAGTAGTACCTTCGTAAGTGTATATCATTTTTTTACAAATTTTTCCATCACCATGATTTTATATAAAATTACACCTAGGATTTATGCTATTGGAGATTGCATTCATGGGCCAATGTTAGCTCATAAAGCTGAGGATGAAGGTGTTATTACAGTTGAAGGCATTGCTGGAGGTAATTAGGAAATACATATCAATCTTTCTACTTGTATCATGAGAAATTTACAAAGATTGTGGTTTCAGGTGCCGTTCACATCGATTATAATTGTGTACCTAGCGTGATATACTTACATCCAGAAGTTGGTTGGGTAGGCAAATCGGAAGAAGATTTAAAGAAGGAGGGCATCGAATACAAAATTGGGAAATTCCCATATTTAGCAAATTCGAGAGCAAAAACAAATGCTGAGACGGAAGGTTTCATTAAAATCTTGGCGGATAAAAATACAGACAAAATATTGGGCGTACATATGATATGTTCATGTGCCGGTGAACTGATTAACGAAGCAGTTCTTGCAATGGAATATGGAGCAAGTGCAGAAGATGTTGCAAGAACATGTCATGCACATCCGGTAAATAGTTGGACGATATTCCATTGAACGTTGAATGACAAATGCTGATTTTATCATTGTTCTTACAGACATTCGCAGAAGCCTTCAAGGAAGCCAATTTAGCTGCATATTTCGGAAAACCCGTCAACTTTTAAATATATGTATAAATAATTTATGAAACAATATTTTGACTCATCGTAGCTTCGATCTAGACTACGTTCACTTCCAAGTGTGTTTGAAACGTGTCACGCTGCACGCTAGATTTCATCATCGTTTAATTACATAAGAAAGAAACTGTAAATAAAAATGTAAGAGAATGAAATGAAAATATCACATCTTTTATAGTAAATTTACTTTCATTGTTTAATTATTGTATTTATTATAAATAAATAAATCACAGTCCATCACAGAAACATTCAACAGGATATAAGATTTACGATACGTTTCAGTAATCTCAAGAGTATATAGATAAGTTTTTATGACGTTACTGTCGAAATTTCCTTTCTCGGTTTCATAAAAACATCCGTCCCGACTAAGTTTTACTTAATAAAATTTAATACATTTGTAACGATATTTAATAACCAAGCGAATATGTTACTGTTATTTTTATTCAAAATGAATTGAACAGTTAAAATCCTAGCAGATAATTTCAATAATAACGAGCTGGATAACTACATGTAGTATACCTTTGTTATCGAAACTGCTCGGTTAATCAAATTGCCTTGTCACCCGATCAATTCAGATAAACCAGATTCTAGCGTAACGTACAAGCGTCAATGTTATAGAGATAAAATACACAGAAAGATAAAATTAGAGTGCGTGAGAAGCTAATGGGATCCGTTCTCTGGCTAGGTACGTTCCTGAGGAGCACATGACCGGCGCAGCAGTAGCAGCGTTGCCGGCAGTCAGCTACGACTCGCAGCGGCCATCGGCAACGTTGCTCAGCAGCAGGGAGAGAGAGAATCGCGAGGGTGGCACTTGTGCGGCAAACACACCCAATGTTTGTGTTTTCGAATTTTTCGTGATACTACTGTGGCTGGTGGCAGTTTGGCAAGGCATGTAGCGCCGTCGTCGAGCCGCTCGAGATGTGGACGACGACGAAAACAACCAAATACGGCGTCGGTGAGTTCTCGTAGGTGTTCTCTCGCGATTAATGCGCGGCATCGACCCCGCGGATCTGTCAAACCACTCGTGTCCTCTTGGTCCGTGCGATTCTTCCACGAGTTTCACTCATGTCGAGCATCGCTGCTTAACAATCGGCACCGTGTCACGGTTACGTGTAGCACACGGTTCGCCGCTGTTCTCTACTCGCGCGTCAGGCATCTCAGCGTCAATGATTCGATCAACGAGCGTCTTGAGGTCTATCGGCTACACGCCGCCTAATAGCCGCTCGAAGTATGATGCTGCTGCTGCCGTGTCGTGGTCGTGTCGCTGCATGAACTTGTATACATGTATATGTGCCGCTATTTTGTTACGCGTGTCTCGACTTCCATTCATGCATTGATCGCGGAGGAGTAGCAAACAGAGTCCGATAAAAACGTCTACTAGTTACTAATTTTACGCTTTTCTTTCTCTGTCCGTTTATTTCGTTGCACGTGCATCGGTACATGCATCTTGAAGAGTATCTGTATCTCAAAATTAGTAGAAAGTAGTAGCCGCAATCGACGAAATTCAGACCATCGACTTTTGCAAATTTTCCTTGGTCATCGATGACCGCCGTCCGAGTCGTTGAACCACAGCGTGATCGAATTTTAATGCTCGAGCGTAATTATTCGAATATCGATCGATTTATTGTTAATTACTCGTCCGAGTCTCGCCTTTGGTAGTCAGCTGTAGATGATTCTTTGAAACGTGAGGTTCGCTACTCTGGAGTATCCTTGAATTACGATCGTTTAATTTTGTTTTGTCTGTTTCGTCTGGGATACGCAACGTCGACGGACGCACACCCGCGCGCATTCCCTGCTTTGATGTTAATTCCTCTACAACACACACTGTCCATGTTTATCGCAGGCGGATGTAACATCTTTGTCAGCCAGACTGATTCCTTCCCTTTTTGTTTATTCTTTTTTTTCTTGCTGCTAATTTTCTTTCCAAGTACATGCAATTACATGATCCAATACTAAATACTCGGCTTTCACGTTCTATTCTATTCTACGTGGATAAAGTTGTGGACGAAATCTCTAGGGATTTTCCACTTCGAACTTTCCGTTGGAAAAGTCGCCGACATATATGGCTTAATAGAATGCACTCTTGACACGTATTGCTCTGGAGAGGCGCAACGACCACGAGGAGGATGAAAAACGCGTGTGAAATGCACGGGAGGAAGTGTCGTTGAGATTCGAACGTGCTATAAACGCGACTGCGAAACCTTTGATCAAAAGACTTTCATTTAAACCACGTATCCTATTCTGGCTACGTAAAATCTGCATGACAAAGGAATTGCAGATTTTCTCCTCTCTTTCTCTTCTCCTCGTTGTTGTTGTTTTTATAGAGGAAAGAAATACGTATCGAGGAATATCGGAGATGAAACGCCGATAGAATAGATAATCCTTGGAAGAAGAAACGAGGAAAAAACAATTTCGAGAGCCACAAGACCTCGCGAATCTTTCGATCATGAATTCTTACGAATACGAATATCGGACTTCGAGCCACGTGAAAAATTATATTTTATCGAGGAAATGAAATATATATTCGGTTGCACGTGACGCTTGTTTGCACCGAATTAATTTCGCTCGGGGCAACAATTGAAACGCCGAAGGATCAATTGAACGCGGTATCCACGACCAACCGGAAACGCCGCCGCTGCTTTGAATTGAGCGGAAAATCGCGGCGTGTCTGCGTCGTGGACCGAAACGAGTCGGAAAAAATCGAGCAGGGTGTTTAAAACACCGATTGAAATTGTCTATCGCCTGTTCGTACAAACGAAACTTTGCCTGAAACCTGAGGAAGGGAACGCGTCACGAGAGCCGATCAACCTTTGATTTCATAAACGTACCACCTTCTTTCACGTTCTCGCGATTAAAAACTTGCGTTGACGCATTCCGAACTTCGCGTCGCGACTTCCGCACACTCATCGCGAATTTTTTTTCAAGGACATTCCGCTAATCGCGCTCTTTGTTTCAACAGCACGTTTGAAATAACAAGAGAGCCACGCAGTGGATACACGTAGTATCAGCGATAAGACTGTCGATGGATTTAGATACGATCCTCTCGTTTCCGAGACACAGGTATCTTCCTTTCTGCCGTAAGAAAATCTGTAAATAAAACTGGCTTATCGCACGCGGTCTTTTCCCGCGTGATCTTGAATTGTATCTCTGTAAAAAGTGAAGATAAAAATCGTGTCACACGCGAATCGTCTGTCATCTTTATGAATTCGAAAGTGGAAATCTCGAGGAAAGATTCAAGTACTTTTGAAATTTCGCGCGTTAAAGAGCGAACGTCACCTTTCGTCATCCTTTCTAACAATCGGGGCGTTAGTATTTCCTCCGATCCGATTGCCACATTATGATTAAGCAATCATCCGTAATCTCACGGAAACGTCGGGCGAGAGCGCGTGGTAAGTCTGGCTTAGTGTGCGATGCTTTTCAAATTAGCTTCAACTAGTTATTACGTTCTATCGTGTAACGTTTGAGAAACGTTCGACGCGCATTCGAAAGAGTTTACACGTGTATCCTGATCTGAAAACTTTCCAGGTATTGATTCTTTTTCTATTGTTCTTAAAGCAACGTTTGCAAAGAAATCTGTTTTTTTTTTTAATTTTTTTTTTTAATTTTTGAGATATCACCTAAACAAGGTGTGACGGGCAAACTATAAACTCGTTTTGAGAGAACTGATACGATATCTCGATAGACTGATTGATTTCAAGCCCCGCATATGCTTTCAGCAGAATTGTCCAGCAACTGTCCCAGCAGGATACCATTTTCATACTTTTTTTTTTATCCCGTATTTTTATGGAACACCGAAAAGAAAAAATCGAAAGAAAGAGAGGCTCGATCGGTTGTTTGATCTCTCCCTTTTATATCCAATCAGTTCTTTTATTCCTTTCCTTAAATCTATCGATCGATACGTCATTCAAAGAGTCATTCAAACACGTCATCTATTCTAATCTAGAACAGATAGTTCATTAGAAAAAAATTGATTCTGATACAGCCGACGCGATAGCTCAAGTTCCAATTGATTGACTTTCGAGATTTTACACACTTTCCTTTTAAAAACGCCGAATCAATGTCGACCGAATTAGGGTTGTTAAGAAAAATCTTCCCTTCAGAGAACCCAAGGCATCCCAATTACCTGGTAGCAAACGGCGAGTGTCGGAGTGATTTGCATCAGGTGGATCGAGCAGGCACGAAATGTCCTTGTCGAAGTGGTCCGAGCCACTTTTTTACACTGGATCGTCCGCTCCGGTTCTGTTGTAAAAGGTGCAAAAATCCATTTGTCCAAGTGAAACCGCAATAGCCATTTGTATGGACGACGCGACGCGATACGATGAAAACGAGGCTTGTTCTCGCGGTTTTTCTCTCCGATTGTCTCTCCAATACGCGGAAAATTCCCGTCGATTTTATACAGACAAACACAAAGAAAAAAAAGGGGGGGAGAGAGAGAGAGAGAACTTGAAAGAGCGGTCAAAGAACGGCAGGAGGCTTTATGTTGCTTTGTGGCCATCGTCGTTTATTATTCCTCTTCCGGTGAACCGTTTCCCAATGGAGGCAGTCTACTCTCGAGGAAACTGTGCCAAAGAAACGTGCCTCTCGTCGCGACGTTATCTCACAATTGTCTGATTTTACTTTCCAACGACGTCTGCAACGCGAATAATAAGTGAAACGAAGGGTCGTCGAACTCTCGTGATAACAGCCGGCTCCAATCGAAGCCGCTTTAAGGTACGTTTTCACGAGATAGTAAATCTGTGACTGTGACGTGATTTTTGATAAATACTCGCACCTTCGTGGACAAAACTAATTATGGAATCTGTTCTGCTGTACCGGGTACCACTGTGCTTTACATTAATGTTGTAAAACCGAATCCGGGGCTAATAAAAGTCTTGTCTAGTCCTTAACGCTCGAACTCTTAAACTCGAAGACCTCTGGATTGTACACAACGATGATTGTAAACAATGAAATGTTACGTATGCCAATGTCATTGTCTATTTTGATCTTAAGAACATTAAGAGCACTGAAACCTAATTTTTAAAGACTTGAGTTTTGTACGATAGTAGTCCTAAAAACTCAACCCTTGACTAGAAACGCCCTACCGGCGATTAAACCGTAAAATTTCTGATCAGTAAGACAAAAAAAAAAAGAATAGAAAACTTTACGATATAACAAAGTATACGAGTTTTTATTTGTACATTCTACGAAAAATCATTTAGATTTCTAAAACTGTAACACTGTTTCACACCTGTAAAATGTCCAACAAAAATTGCAAATTGTCATTTCGACCAATTTGGTAGTTGTAGTGTTAAGGTCTTGAAACTTCGAACATTCGAGTTTTATATATTACTTTAGATATTTCATTTTCAGTAAGAATTAGCACTTGATCATTTCCGCTGGTTTTGGAGATATGAAAACATTTTATTTACAAAAGTTGAGTACAGTATAAACTCTATCGTTTAAAGGACATAGAAATCCAGAGACAGATTATTCTTGCGTTTACACTGTCCTCGCCTTTCGTTCATAGATTTTACAATATTAAAATCAAAACGTCTCCTAAATTAATAATATTTCGATGCACATAGGTCGATACTCTTTTTCAATAAAAAATGTGGAGCTTTGTCGACTAATACATAAAAAGTAAAACATGAAGATGAAATTTCTGAAAACTCTTCAACTTACAAAGAAATTAATTAAATTAATTAAATTAGTCAAAGAAATTACTATAAGTATATTAGTATATTAGTATAATTTATACTAATATATTAGTATATATTATACTATATTAGTATATATTAGTATATATTATACTATATTAGTATATTAGTATATATTATACTATATTAGTATATATTTGTATATATTATACTATATTAGTATATATTTGTATATATTATACTATATTAGTATATATTAGTATATATTATACTAATATTAGTATATTAGTATGTATTATACTAATATTAGTATATTAGT